TGGAGTTTTTAATCTCCTGGAAATCTATTTGCATCTGTTTTATGGATTCCATTTGTTTCCTATGTTGGAATTCCATCATGTTCCTCAGCTCCTCTATTTTTTATCTGTGTCTTCTCTAGATTTATTAATCATGTCTTGCACTATGGGCACAATCTCTGCTGTTATGTGGGAAATTATTTCTGATTTCATTTTTTCCAGATCCTCTTTCATTGCCAGTTCAGGGAGTCCAGAGGTTGTTGAGTCAGGGAGTCCAGGTGATTGAGTACCAGATTGTTCCATCTCGTTTCCCTTTGGGGTTGCTTTAGGTGATCTGCATGTCTGATTTTGAGACTTGTTTACCTGTTTTCTCATTTCAATGGGGGGGGCACTCAGGGGGTGTGCTGCTGGTGCCTGTGCAGCTCACCTCGGAGCTGGGGGTAGTGGTTTGGTGGCCTGGAAGGTTTACCTCCTCTGTGCTGGGGACGGCTCTATGGCAGCATATGATTTTCATTCATGTCCTGTTTTGCAAGTATTTCTTGAGGCACCTTTTTAAACAGAGCACCATGCTGTATACACAGAATAAAATAAATGGTCAAACAAACAATGGAATGTAAAAAAGGCCTTCTGGGAGCTTAACATCCTGTTCAGAAGCAAACACTGACCTGTTAATATACAAATACACATATTTAATAATAATACACAGCACTATAAGTCATTGAAATTAGGATACAAAGAACAGAGCATTAGTCCACCAGTGTGAGCAAAAATATTCACTTTACAAAATTCTTCTCCTTAAATACAGATATGTTATTAGGATTGTCTTACAGGTGTTTAGGAGCAATAAGCCTTACTTTGAATATTTTCTGTGGTAGGATACTCTCCCCATCCCAGCCATGCTGAGGTTTGGGTGTACTTGTGAACAGGTGTCCTGTGTGGCAGCACATCACTTTGATTAGATGGGGCCTGCAAACAGGGAAACTAATTCAAGAAGGCTCAGCAGAGTATCAGTGCCTCAGCTCAGGAAAGAACTGGTGTAAGTGTCTTGAAACCAGGTGCCCAATAATAGGCAATATCATGCTGTTCTAGTCTTCAGAGCAACCAGAATATTTTCAAAATATGGACAGATCTTCCTTTATTCTCTTCTTTACCTTTCCCCCCATTCAAATTTCTAGGTTGGTTGTAGGAACCTACTGTAAGATTCTCCTTAGCTGAGTGTATGTTTGTGTACCTGGGGAAGGGGTACGTAAACGGAAAGAAATGAAAGGAAGTTGATGTGAGAAGAGGATTTGGTTCCTTTCAGGAAGACGCATGCACACTGCTTCCTGAGTAGAGTTCAGCGGAGGTTGAAAGACCACAAAAAGAGAACATCCAGACTTACAGGGTGTGGACAACTTCATAGCTTTCTGTAGGCCCCCATGTCCTAATTGAACAGAGAATCACCACAATAATTATGACACCTGCATGGGGTCAGAGGATGGGATCAGGGCATATCTTAGGCAGGACTGCATGGACTGCACCCCAGGACAAGATGCCTCCCTTCCTGAAATCTGGCATGATATCGTCTTCCTGGAACTTAGGCACAACCCTGGGACAAGGGTCAAAGTCTCCAACTTAGAAGAAAACTTCCTGAAATTTGAGGGAAGAAACCTTCTAAATAGAAGTTAAATAGAATAAAACTATTTTTGCCATCCCTGAATTTATTCACTGAGATTCATTCCAACTATACCAATTTATTTTCCTCTCAAAAATATGTCTTAAACAATTACTCTTGTCTTTGTTAGAACCAGTGAGATTTCACAGGCAGGACTCAGCCAAAATTGACGCAACCTTCCTAAAACTGTGTGGCTCCTTGTGGTTTCCAAACAATTTTCTGGTAACTGCACTGAGTTCAGAAACTTCAGTCCAAAAATTTGATATGACATTTGGAAAAAATAAAACCTTTAGCAAACACCACCAGAGCCATCTTTCAGATCACTTGGACTCTCTGTTGGAAACATTTTGGGCAGGTTGCTGTAGGGTTGAAACGTTGGGACTCTGTTGGAATTTGCTAAATGTGAAACTGGAATTTAATGGTGTGGCCTTAGCTGAATACGTATGCACTGAAAACGGAACCATCTTAGCAGAAGGCAGAAAATGAGGGAATTGAATCTTCTCTAAGCCAAAGTATGAAGCTGTCTATTTCCTGAGGCAGGAAAGGGTAAGCATGTGTGGATGGGCAAGTAATCAGAGACCAAATTGCATAAAGTCACCTGGCCAGGAAGCTCCTCCATGGCTGGTGTTAGTGGGGAAACATGTCCCAAAAGGCCCTTCCTTGACAGTGCTATTGAATGCTTTATCGGCCAGGTCACAGACTACTGAACATCTTTCATCACTTAAGCAGGAGATTGGAAGGAAAAAAATCGAGGTTTCTACTCAGTTAAAGTTTGTGTAAAGTCCATAGTCACTAGGGTCCCCCTTTTTTATTCTGGTGAAATTAACATAACGTAAAATAAACCAGCTTGGGCAACTTAGCAAGACTTTGTCTCAAAATAAAATGAAAGGTGTGGGGATGTATCTCAGTGGTAGCACAAGGCCCTGGGTTCAATCCTCAATACTAAAAAGAAAAATTAAAGTGTATAATTCAGTGAAATTTAGTGTACTCAAAATGTTGCACAGCTCTCTACCATATCACATTCCGAAATATCCCCAATTCCTGTACCCAGTAGGCCCATTCTCCTTTCTGACCTCCGGCCTGTAGTGCTTCCATTCTCCTGGCCGCCAATCAAGGATGGACACATATTCAGTTACAGTGCTTCCTCTTGGAAGTCAGACTTGAGCTTCCTTTCTGTTGGACTTGAAGCTGATGGTCTAAGCCTGCCAGGTGTCTCCACATGGAGAGCCAAGCTGACACCAAAAAAAGCAGAGTACAAAGATGATGTGAGAGAGCTGAAATCTACTGGCATTATTGAGTCACTTTTTTCAGGCATATTTAATTAATTAGGAGACTTTTTCTTGTCTTATAGCAGTTTGAGTTATATTACTGTCATTTTCAAACAGTCACTGTGGAGCACAAAACACGACCACACTATGTGGGGCTGAGGGATGTGGGTGAGGTGGCCTCTCTCCAGCTGCCTGGGAAATCCCTCACTTTGTAAGGAAGGACTCTGAAGCTCCATACCTTCCTGGTTTGTCTGGTTGTACTTTAAACATACAATTCCATTGAAGTAGCAGTGGAGAAGTAAAATAATAGTTGGACAGTTGATATTTACCTAACCATATCAATATCTTTAATTTTTTTTGTATGTGCTGGAGATCAAACTCAGGACCTTGAGTTTGTGAGGTAGGCATGGTGCCACTGAGCTAAATCCCCAGCCCAAAGATTTTCATTAGTTTTTTTTTTTTTTACTTCCAAATTTACTTTGCTAATTCCTGCTTTTCCTCACACCCCTGCCCCCATTACTGGGAATTTAACCCAGGGCCTTTGCACTGAGCTACATCCCCAACCCCTTTCTCGTTTTTATTTTATTTTATTTATTTATATTTATTTATTTATTTATTTATTTGGTACCAGGGATCAAACTCAGGTCCTTGCACTTGTGCAGCAGGCGGTGAAACCACTCAGCTAAATCCCAGGCCCCTTTATTTATGTTTTGGTACCAGGGATCATACTCAGGATCTTGCACTTTTAAGGCAGGAGGCAGCACCACTGAGCTAAATCCCTGACCCCCTCAATATCTTTAATATTAAATATTAGCAGTATAAGTTTCTACAAAGAAAAATGTTAACTTCTTTCTCTTTGGTTTTGAATCCTTGATAAGGATAATCTTTTTGAATCAATAGATTGTAAGAAAGAATTTCATAGAATGGTATTGAAAATCATGTGAATCAATTTACCAATAAAAAACCTTGAGGAATAATACCTTGCATTATCAAGGTCTTTCTTATTTAAGTTGTCCTTAGTGTGTAACCAGAAAAAAATAACTTTCAAAAATTAGAGTAGCTCGGGCAGGGATTTAGCTCAATGCTTTTACCGCCTGATGAGCAAGCACAAGGACCCCAGTTCGATCCCCAGTACCAAAAAAATAATTAGAGTATCTTGTTTCCTCAGTCACTTTAGATTCTAAATCACACTAATAAACATGGGAACTTTTCATACTCTCTAAAGACATTCTCCTCTCTAACAACACAACTCAAGGTTTTAAGATAAATTCCTAACTAGAATTTGGTAAAGGTAATCAGAAGAGAAGTTTCCCTCTATTTTGTCTTTTGCTTTAATTGAAAAAGAGGGTAAATTACAGAAAAATAATACCAAGGGCATATTCTTTTAGTTAAAGATTTCTTTTATTAACTTCACTTGATTCACTTCACTTTTGGGTCTTTTGCAAACAATACTAGAAATGGAATATCTTTATTAAAAGTAATCTTGTCGCGCAGAAATTAGTGGACCAATTTCATAAAAATTTAGATTTTGTGTATTTTAAAAATCCTAAATAATCTGGTCAGATATTGTTATGGGTCGAATTGTCCCTCCTCCAAAGACATATTGAAGTCCTAACTCCTAATACCTGAGAATGTGAGCCTAATTGGAAATAATGTTATTGTAGATGGAATTAGGTAAGATGAAGCCATACTGAAATAGGGTGGGGTCCTAGTCCAACATGAAAGCAATGTGAAGATAAGAGATACAATGAGAGGCCCAAATAGCAGCGAAGGCAGAGGTTGGAGTTAGACAAGTGCAGACCAAGGAATACCACAGATTTCCAGAAAACCATCAGAAGCTGAAAAGAGGTAAAGGGGGACTTATCCTTGATAAATTAGGTAAGGACCTTATTCAACTTAAAACTGGAAGTTTGTACCCTCTGACTAACATCTTCCAATTTTCTTTATCCCCTACTCCTTGGCAACCATGATTAGAATCTTTGCTTCTGTGAGTTTGACTTCTTTTAGATTCCACATATAAGTGAGATCTTACAGTATTTGCTTATACTTGGCTAATTTCACTTAATGTCCTCCAGGTTCATTTGTGACAAATAGCAAGATTTCTTTCTTTTTATGGCTTAATAATATTTCATTGTGCATTACACCATGTTTTAAAATTGTATCCATCAGTGAACACTTTGTTTCTATATTTGGTTATTGTGTATAATGGTCTGATGAACATTGCCTAGAAGTAAGATTGCTGGATCACATGGTAGTTCTATTTTTATTTTTATGGGAAACTCTATACTATTTTTCACAATGGTTGTACTAATTTAGATTCATACCAGCAGTATGTAAGGTTCCTATATTATCTATGTTCTCACCAACACTTATCCCTTTTGTTTTGGTACTGGGGATTGAACTTGGGTCCTTGCCCTTGCGCAGCAGGTGGTAAAACCACTGAGCTAAATCCCTGGCCCACCAACACTTCTCTCTTGTCTTTTTGATAGCTTTTCTAACAGGTGTGAATTGATTTATACTTTTGGTTTTGATTCTAATTTCCCTGAGGAGATTAATGATGGCGAGTGTTTTCCAAATACTTGTTGGCAACATGTATGCCTTTTTTTGAGAAATGCCTATTTAGGACCTTTTTGCATTTTCAAATCAGGCATTTGGTTTATTTCTCTTAAGTTTTGGAGTTTCTTATGTATTTTGATTATTAACCACTTTTTTTTAGGTATATGGTTAACAAATATTTTCTTTTACTAACTCATTTGTTCTTATATGATAAATCCATATTTTTGCCAAACCCATGAAAGAATCCAATTATGCAAAAATCCAGACTGATAGCCACTTAGAGGATGTTGCCTACTTCTAGCCATCCCTGGGTGGCACCTTAACAACTGTTGTGATAATTACCTAGTGCGTAGTTCCTAATTTCAGTTGCACATTGAAATCACCTGGGAAGATTTTAAAGCCTCCTCACTCCAGCCCAATTAAGTCAGAAACTCCAGGGATAGGACCTAGGGACCAGTCATTTTAAAAAGATTCTCAGGTGATTCTATCATGCAGCCAGGGCTGAGAACCAGCAGCTTAATATTATGTATTGCTATTGAGTCTCAGTGTTTTAATGATGAGGCAGAGCACCCACTCTGCCCCCCAGCCCTCTGCTTTTTGTCTGATTGAAGTTATATAAAGTTGAAGTGGAACTAAGACTAAGTCTGGTAATTATGACAATGGCCTAGATATCCTATCAAATCCAATCTTGCTTAGGATGGGACAGACAAGTGAAGTTAAAATATTTCTGTCCCTATTTAGAATGTTCAACGTTAAATTCAACAGTGTTTTGCCTTGAAATTTCACATACCAAAACTTTCTGAAATAACAGATCTTACCTGATCCAAAACAGTTTATATGAATTGTAAAGTGTGCTTGATCACAGAATTATTTAGGCAATCAGCATCATGTACTGCCTTTAATGCTTCTGTCCACTGAGTGTGTTCTGCATATTGATCACAGATTTGTGAATTTCTCTGCTTATGCCTCATCACTTCCATCTTTGATTTAATATAAAATAAACAGAGTTGGAAAATCACAGTGCTGGAAGGGACCTGTGGAAACCATTTTATTCCATGCTCTGCCTTTACAATCTGATGTCTAATCCACTAAGAGAGGTCACTAGGTGACCTAGTCCCTAGCTAAATTCAGGCTGGCTGTAGCATAGATGATGGCAACATCCCTTATGACTGGTTCCCTCCTTTCTGTCATCTTTTCTCCACCTTGCTGTCAGTGATCTTGCTAAACAAATCCAAGCAAGTTTCTCTCTTCCTTGCTTAATGTTTTTTGATGATCCCACATTTGCCTCAGGTCTGATCAGACTCCTCAGATGCCTCACTGACAAGCCATCAGCCACTGATCTGACCTTGTCTCCCTCTGTAGATTCATTTTCTAGATCACCATTTTCACACTGTAAATTGCAGTCTTTTTTTGGTACCGGGGATCGAACTCGGGTCCTTGCGCTTACACAGCAGGCAGCGAAACCACTGAGCTAAATCCCTGGCCCCATAAATTGCAGTCTTACAAGGATTCTAAGTGTTCCAAATGTGGTGCCCCAGATGCGTCCTCTGTGCCACCATACATTTGCACCTGCTTTCCTTTCCCTCTAGGATACCATTTCTCCCACTGTGTGAGGAGGCCCTTCCTCCCCTCTGTCATACCAGGTTGTAATGCACAAGGGATGCATCAGAACTTGTGGCAAATGGTGTGGAAAATGGGAGAGTGCTTACTGAAATGTGGGTAGAGGATAGATGCATATAATAAATGCTGAAGTACAAGACTTTATTTTGTTTTTGAATAAAGAGCTTTAAAGCTACACACAAGAACAAGGTCAAATGGATTAAAAATTGAACTTTCTGAGGTTAGTGGGGTTAGTTGTAGTAGTGATGGTTTCTCAGTACCATAATGAGGGTGGGGGGAGGATCTATCTATCTATCTATCTATCTATCTATCTATCTATCTATCTGTCTAATCATTAGATTTCAGATGCAAAGTCATGTTAATTACACTCCTCAGCTTATGGCATATTGCTGCTATTGGTCCACACAACTATTTAATTTAGTTTTGTTATAAAAACTTTGTTAAAATTTCTATGAGGATTCTTCACTATCATTTTCCTCCTGCATATAGGAAACTATTCCAATGTTTTTAAAGAGGATTATCTTATTTGCATTATATATATATATATATATATATATATATAACTTTTTTAATGGCTCTGCATTCTATGCTTCTTTCTGTATCTTCTTTCCCCTACTATTTGTAATGTCACACATAATGCCACGAACATGTCAAATCCATGGGCTTTGAGCTGCTGTGACCATTGTACTTCACACATCTATCTTCCCTTCTCTGACCCCAGATCATGAGCACTGAGATAATGTACAACTCTGCCCCTCCCCCAGATCCAAACATTGGGGTGTGCATCATCTTGTCAGTCCCGTATAGATGTGTGTGACTATCTTTGGAGACAAGTATTCAGGAATGGATCCTAGGTCTGTGCACAGTCTGACCGAATGTATAACACCATCACCTCTCGCTAACACTGGTATTACCAGGCTTTCTCATATCTGCCCATGTACAGGAAAAAAGCAATACATTATATTGTTTTACTTTTCCTATTAAATTAACTTTACCTGGTTATTTATCAGTTTCAGATTTACAGCAAAATTTAGCAGAAAGTATAGAGAATTTCCATTTGCTGTATAGTCCTGCCAGCCCCTCAAAGGGCTGCCCTCCTCTCCAATCAACATTTGGTACGAGAGTACTATTTCTATTACAGCTGAATTAATCACTCATTATCACCCAAATTCATAGTTTTCATTATGATTTGTTCTTGGAGTTGCATATTCAGAAGTTTTGATGAGTGTATAATGCCATATACCCACCATTATAGAGGTAGATTCCTTGCTCTGAAAGTCCTCTGTGCTTGGCCAGTTCATCCTTGCTTCTTCCACACCCTCTGGCAATTACTGATTTGTTCTACAGTTTTGTCTTTTCCAGAAAGTTACATAGTTGGAATTATATCTATCTATCTATCTATCTATCTATCTATCTATCTATCTATCTATCTATCTATCTATCTTTCAATTGGCTTTTTAAATTTAATAATACAATTTAAATTTCTACCACATATTTTTGTGGCTTGATAGCAATTTTCTTTTTAGTGGTGACTAATATTTCATTGTTTAGATATACCACAATGATAGGGATTTCCCAAAGGCTCATGTATTGAGGTCTTGATCCCTAATGCAGTGATGCTCAGCCGTAGCCCCTGGAGAGGTGACTGTTTCATGAGGGCACTACCCTCATCAGTGGGTTGACTCATTGATGAGTTCATAATTGAATGAGCTATTAGGTAACAAAGCCCAGTTGGAGGAAACAGGAAGCTGGGATCATGCCTTTGAAGAGTATACCCTGTCTCTCTCCCTCCCTCCCTCTCTCTCTGTCTCTCTCTCTCTTTCTCTCTCCTCTCCTCCCCCCACCCCTCCCCCTCCCTCCCTCCCCTTTTGTCTGCTTCTGGCTACTATTAGGTGATCAGCTTCCCTCTGCTATGACATTTCTGCCACATGAACCAAAACCTCTGAGATCATAAGCCAAAATAAATCCTCCTCCTTTAAGTTGTGTTTTTCACCTATTCTGTCTGAGTGATGGAAAGCTGACTAATACATATCATTTACTTATCCACTCACCTACTCTTGGTGGCTTCCAAGTTTTGGCAATTATGAACAAATAGCTAATAATATATGTATGCAGACTTTTGCATGGTCATAAATTTTCAGCTTATTTGGATAAATACTAAGGAGCATGATTATTGCATCATACTGTGAGAGTATGGTTGGTTTTATAAGAAATTGCTACTGTGGCCGTATCATTTTGGATTCCTACCAATAACACATTTGGTGTTGTCAGTGATCTGGATTTTGGCTATTCTAATAGGGATGTAATGGTATCTCCTGTTTTAATTTACATTTCCTTAATGATTTATGATGTGGAATATCTTTTCATATGGTTATTTGCCATCTGTGTATTTTCTTTTTATGCGTTCTTTTATTTATTTTTCAGATCTTTTTTTATTAGTGGAAATTGTTTATACAGATTTATGGGTTTCCTTTGAGCAGATCCATACATGCATGATACACTTTAATCATTTCCTCTCCATCACTCCTTCCCCACCTTCCCCTGAATGTCACATTTTCTTGGGTTTCAATAGATATCCAGTATTTTGATCATATCTATACTCTCTATTATCTGCCCTTACACCTCCACTCCCCTACCCCTCACTCCCTTCCTTATGTTTAATAATAGTCTCCCTACTAATTTCTTGTCATATTTTTTAGAGTCCACATATTAGGGAGACAATTCAATAATTGTCTTCCTAAGTCTAGTTTATTTCATTCAACATGATAATCTCCAGATCCATCCATTTTTTTTGCAAATGTCAAAATTTTGCGCTTTTTTATGGTTGGATATCTCCTCTGGTGAGGGGTTTTTTAAAGTCTCTTGCCCATTTTTAAATCTAGTTGGTTATTTCCTTATTGTTTACTTGCTTGTTTTTTGAGACAGGGTCTCACTATGTAGTTCAGGTTGGCCTTGAACTCACTATGTAGCCCAGGCTGGCCTCAAACTTGCAGTGATCCTCTTGTCTCAGACTCCTGAGTGCTGGAATTATAGGTGTGTACCACCACAGCCAGCTTATTTTCATTCTCTTGACAATGTCTTTCGCAGTGCAAAAGTTTTTAATTTTAATGAAGTCTAGTTCATTAGCTATTTGTTTTTGTTAAATTCTTTTATTGGTACATTGTAGGTATACAACACAATTAAATTTCACACTGGGAATTGTACCTTTACATAATGCATCTTGGTTCTTATTTTTTCCCAATTCCTAGCCCTCCCTTCA